ATGATCAATGAACTTACCTAAAAATGAAAAAAAATAACTACCATTTCCTGAGCACTTACTATATGCCCAGCAATTTATGTTCATCATCTTATTAGTGATCATAGTAGTCTGTGGGGTAGGCAGTATTACCCCCACTTTATAGGTGTCTAAACTGAGGCTTACGGAGGACTAGGCAACTTTCCAAGGTGACACATAAGGAAGTGGCAGAATGAGCATCTGAAGGCAGGCCTGCCTGGCTCTATAGGCAGAAAAGGCAGGGATCGGGGTGACTCACCTCTGTGTTCCCCAGGGCACTGCCCAGCTCTTTGTACTTAATAGGTGCTTGATATGTTTTTGTTGAACAAGTGATCCTTATTCAAAAAAAACAATCTCCTTGCCTCCCTGTTCATGTGACAGCAATGTGTACCTCCCATGGCAACAAGGCACAGACAACGCCCTGCAGTGAGGGCTCCTTTCATAAACACCGCACCCCCAGCATTACACATCGGTGGCAGCGGTCCAGCGACCAAACTCACTCAGAAGAGTTTTCCTTTTCTTTCATAAAAATTCTAAGATAAAGTGTTTTTGAAAAACAGGCTGGTAACTCTATCTTACAAGGAATTAAGTAAGTGTAAAAATATTCTCTCCTTTCTACTTAGAAGATGTTATCATTGAGCATGATCACTGCCTGGTGACGACTGAAAGGCCAATGTTCATTCAATAGCCTCTGACCTACTAAGAACATGTGAAGATAGTGGCTCCTTTCACTCGGGCGGCAGCTGCTTGTTCCCGAGCCAGGTGGTTTTGCCTTGGAAGGTGCCCCTCCGCTCGGCAGGCCCTCTCTGGCTCACTGGGCTGACCCTACCCAGCCATCCCTGAGCCTAGAGACCGAGACCTAAGTGCCAGTGACCCTATCAAGACCCGGTCCTTGCTACAGGGGAGCTCTGAAGTTGACTGGGCCTAGAGCTGATGAGTACGAAACCGCCCAAGGAGACAAATGTGACCTCTTGCTTCTGGGCATGCTGGCGGGACCCTGGATTAAAGGTCTTTACTGTGACATGACACAAGCCACTCCAAGCACTGACAGATTTCCCAAGGAAATTTGGGAATTTCTTGCCTCTTCCTAATATAGGTAACACTGAGTATAGCACCTTAAATAATAGTAGGTAATTATCAATGGTTTTTAAATTGTGGTAAAATGATAAAATTATTTTAACCATTTCTAAGTGTAGAGTTCAGGGGCATTACCTACACTGACCCTGCTGTACAACTGTGGTCACCGCCGTCCAACCAGCACAACTCTTTCCATCTTTCCAAACTGAAGCTCCGCACCCACTGAATACCAACTCGCCGTCCCCTCCTCCCAGCCCTTGGCAGCCACCCTTCCACTGTCTGTGAGTTTGACTATTTTACATAGAAGTGGAATCATACAGTATTTGTCTTTCTGTGACTTGGCTTATTTCACTCAGCACATGAGAATAATACCCCGCTGTATGGATATAACCGTTTTGTTTATTACTCATCCGTTGGTGGACACCTCCTGGCCACTGTGAATGCTGCTGCTGTGAACACGGGCGCACGAAAATCTCTAAGATCCTGCTTTCAATTCTATGTACCTAGAAGTGAAATAGCTGGATCGCATGGTAATTCTATTTTAATTTTTGAGAAATAACTACTGTCTTATAAATTTTATTGTTGATCTATGCACCACTGGATGGTGGACTTAACTGAAAACAGCCATTAGCTCAGCTCTGCCAATGAAAGCTTTGGGTGGGGACGGGAGCTCTTTCCAGATGTTCAGCCTTCAGGAGTAAACATTCCCCCAATATGACTGAGGAGAGTCACATAAAATATGTGTTTCAACTATAAAAATCCTAGAACAAAACATAGGCAGTAAAATCTAGACATTTCTCGTAGCAGTATTTTTTCTGGTATATCTCTTCAGGCAAGGAAAACAAAAGAAAAAACAAACACATGGGGCTACGTCAAACTAAAAACTTTTTGCAGAGCAAAGGAAGCCATCAACAAAACGAAAAGACAACCCACTGAATGGGAGAACATATTAACCATCTGATAAGGGGTTAACATCCAAAATTTATAAAGAACTTACTCAGCACCAAAAAAACAAACAATCCAATTAAAAAGTGGGCAAAGGACCTGAACAGACACTTCTCCAAAGAGGACATCCAGATGGCCAATAGACATATGAGAAGATGCTCAATGTCACTGATCATCAGACAGATGCAAACTAAAACCACAATGAGATAAAACCTCACGCCTGTCAGAATGGCTCCATCAACAAATCAACAAACAAGTGTTGGTGAGGGTGTGGAGGAAAGAGACCCTTGTGCACTGCTGGTGGGATGCAGACTGGTGCAGCCACTATGGAAAACAGTATGGAGCTTCCTCAAAAAAATAAAAATGGAGCTGCCTTTTGACCCAGTGATCCCACTTCAGGGACTATATCCAAAGAAACCTGAAACACTAATTCAAAAGAATATATGCATCTCTATGTTCACTGCAGTGTTACTTACAATAGCCAAGATTTGAAAGCAGCCCAAGTTCCTATCAACAAATGAGCGGATAAAAAAGCAGTGGTACAGCTCGGCTGGTGTGGCTCAGTGGTCGAGCATTGACCTAGGATCCAGGGGATCGCAGTTCAGTTCCTGGTGGGGCACATGCCAGGGTCGTGGGCTTGATCCCCAGTGGGGGATGTGCAGGAGGCAGCCGATCAATGACTCTCTCATCATTGATGTTTCTATCTCTCTCCTCCCTCTCTCTGAAATCAATAAAGACATATATGTTTTTTAAAACAGCAGTGGTACATATATACAATGGAATATTACTCGGCTGTAAAATAAGAATGAAATCTTACCTTTTGCAACAGCATGGATGAACCTGGAAAGTACTCGCTAAGTGAAATAAGCCAGTCAAAGACAGACAAGTACCACATGATTTCACTTATATGTTTTTCCCACTGATTTTTAGAGAGTAGAAGGGAGAGAGGGAGGGAAGGAAAGAGGAAGGGAGAAAGAAGAGGAAGGGAGAGAGGAGAGAGTAGAAGGGAGAGAGGGAGGGAAGGAGAGAGAGAGGGAGAGGGGAGAGAGTAGAAGGGAGAGAGGGAGGGAAGGAGAGAGAGGGAGAGGGGAGAGAGTAGAAGGGAGAGGGAGGGAAGGAGAGAGAGGGAGGGGAGAGAGTAGAAGGGAGAGAGGGAGGGAAGGAGAGAGAGGGAGAGGGCAGAGAGAGCGTGTAATAACAAAATAAAAAAACAAAATAGAAATAGACCCATAGATACAGAGAACAGACTGACCACTGTCAGAGGGGAAGGGGGCTGGGTGAAATAGGTGAAGGGATTAAGCAAAAGAAAAAAACCTCACAGACACAGACAACAGTATGGTGATTACCAGAGGGAAGGGGGGGTACAGGTAGAAGAGGGACCTGAACAGACACTTCTCCAAAGAGGACATACAGGTAGAAGAGGGTAAAGGGGAGATAAATGGTGATGGAAGGAGACTTGACTTAGGGTGGTGAATGCACAATAAAATATACAAATGATGTATTATAGAATTGTATACTTGAAAGCTATATAATTTTATTAACCAACATCACAATGCTATTTCAATATATTCAATAAAAAAATTTTTTAAATAAAAACAAAAGATAAAATAGCCCGGTCAGCGTGCCTCAGTGGTTGAGCATCAACCTAGGATCCAGGAGATCACGGTTCAATTCCCGGTCAGGGCACATGCCCGGGTTTCAGACTAGATCCCCAGCAGGGGCCGTGCAGGAGGCAGCCAATCAAATGACTCTCTCTCATTGATGTTTCTCTCTCTCTTTCTCCATTTCCTTTCCTCTCTCTGAAATCAATAAAAATATATTTTAAAAAAAGATAAAATGAAATAAAATGTTTCATGCCCTGGCCAGTGTGGCTAAGTGGTTAGAGTGTCAGCCCACGCACCGAAGGGTCTAAGGTTCAATTCCTGGTCAACAGCACATGCCTGGGTTGCAGGTTCCATTCCCGGCTCGTCGGGGCATGTGCAGGAGGCAACCAATCGATCTGTCTCTCTCACATCACGCTCTCTCTCCCCTCTCCCTCTCTCTCCTTCCCTCCTTCTCCCTTCTACTCTCTCCCCTCTCCCTCCCACTCTCCTTCCCTCCCTTCTCTCCCTTCTACTCTCTCCCCTCTCCCTCTCTCCTTCCTTCCCTCCCTCTCTCCCTTCTACTCTCTCCTCCCTCCCTCCCTCTCCCTTCTACTCTCTCCTGTCTCCCTCTCTCTCCTTCCCTCCCTCCTTCCCTCCCTTTCTCCCTTCTACTCTCTCCCCTCTCCCTCCCTCTCTCCTTCCCTCCCTCTCTCCCTTCTACTCTCTCCCCTCTCCCTCTCTCCCTTCTACTCTCTCCCCCTGCCTCTCTCCTTCCTTCCCTCCCTCTCTCCCTTGTACTCTCTCCTCCCTCCCTCCCTCTCCCTTCTACTCTCTCCTGTCTCCCTCTCTCTCCTTCCCTCCCTCTCTCCCTTCTCCCTCCCTCTCTCCTTCCCTCCCTTTCTCAAAAAATCAATGGAAAAAACATCCTCAGGTGAGGGTAAAAAAAGAGAACTATGACTAGATATGGTAATGCATACAAAAGGGATGGAACATAACAGCACTAATACTATTATCAAAGGTAATGAGTGAACACTTTATCAAGTTCTTTTTTTTTTTTTTTAATCTTTACTGATTTCAGAGAGAGGAAGGAAGAGGGAGAGAAAGAACCATCAATGATGAGACAGTCATGGATTGGCTGCCTCCTGCACGCCCCGACTGGGGATCGAGCCCACAACCGGGGCATGTGCCCTGACTGGGAATCGAACCCCGATCACCTGGATCCTAGGTCGATGCTCAACCACTGAGCCACGCCTGGCTGGGCTATCAAGTTCTTAAAATGGGGGACAGAAGTGACGGCAGTCCCTCATCCAGCATTTCTGTCAAAAACACTTGGGTATAACCTTTTGAATGCTTGACGTTGAATTTCTACTAAAAACTTACCAGATCACAGAACTCAAACACCAGAAGATAGGGAATTGCTTCTACACACTGTCCAACACACTGAAGAATATTTGGATGCTGAAGAGTACTGGGGAAAAAATAGTCACAGCGCCGTTCATCAGAGAGCACATTGATAAAACTGTTTAAACAGTAATCCAAACCTTAGCTTTCATTGTGATTTAAATAGAAGCTGAAAAGAACACACTAACAGACTGAATGCTATCTAGTGATTAAATAATTCAAAGCCAACATTTTCAAAAATCAAAACAGAACTCCTGTCAGAAGAGCCTCTAATTTTAGTAATTTAAATTTATAGATTATCACTGTGAAGCATTTTTTAAAAAGGCAGGCCAAATATACAAACTTAATAAGCATTTCACCCCATATATTAAATAGCCCAGCTACTCCTCAGGCTATCTAGCTTATATACTATTCCCATAAAATTTCCACAGCATATGCACTCTTTTTGGAAAACATTTTGTCCAAAAGAAAGTTTATGAAAAAAGATATGCCAAAATAGTTTTTAAAAAGCTTTTTATTTGAAGCAATTATGAATGAACAATAAATTGTGAAGACAGAATAAAGAGGTCCCATGTCCCTCCCCGTGTCCCCGGGTTACACCTGACAACTGCAGTGCAGTCCAAACCAGGGCACTGACAGAGGCCCCACGTGCGCACACCTCTGCGGGCTGTGAGCTGTGACCCTCCCATGCGGGGAGTCACACAACTACCACCTCTACAGAAATAAAGAAGTGCTCCGTTACCACACAGCCCTCCCCAGGCGACCCCAGTCGGGCTCTGCCGCCTCACTGTGCCCCCCCTCACCCCTAAGCCCTGGCAACAGCTAATCTGTTTTTCATTTCTATAATGTTCTCGTTTTGAGAATATTATGTAAATGGAATTACACAGTATGTGGCCTTTTAAGACTGATTTTTTCACTCAACATAATGCCCTCGAGATTACCCAAGTTGTTGCCTGTATCAATGGTTCATTCCTTTTATTGCTGAGAAGTATTCCCTGGTATGGACATATTGGTTTGTTTAACCCTTCACCTACCAAGGGACATTTTCATGGTTTTGGGGGAGCTTCAAAATATTTTGGTTTTATTCAAAGGCAAACTTATTTGGCAGATAAGACATTCTCAGGTCTAACAATTTTGCAATCTGTCCATACAGAGAGAAAGAGAGAAATTTCCTAAATGAGTTCATTTTCGTTATTATCCATGACAGGTGCACAAGGTGACGTGTGGGGGAAGGAGGTACACCTGCGACACGGTGTCAGGGTTCCCCTGAGGTCCCTGTATCCTGCTGACATCTCTCAATCTTTCTTTGTCCCTTAGGGTCACAAAACCAATCTGCTGCTAAGAATCTTGACAATTGCTTTCTACTCCTTAAGCTTTGGGATTACAATGCCATCATTTTCCTGACCAGGAACCCTGACGTTCTAGAGCTCCCTTCTGGTTAGTGTGGGTTTTTAGAATTTAAGTACAGCTGGTACACAGTATTATATTAGTTTCAGGTGTACAATATAGTGACTCAACACTTAGATACTTTACGATGCATTTACAGAAACATATATTAAGGGTTACTTACTAGTAAGGTTCTCCATTTTTCAAAAAAGTATCTTGTTCCTTTGGGCTTGCACTTGCTTTTAACTCCTTCACTATTACTCTTGCTACACTAGTGCCCGTGTAAATCTCTCCAAGGAGGACCTAAAACCAAAGGACAGTTGTTCATTTTATTTCCAACAAAATGGTAAAGAAGTGTGTCTCATTTATTAGGAAATGGAATATAGGAAAACAAATTAAAGCAATAAGCAGGTGGCTTTCTATTATTTTAAATACTACTCACAAAAAGCTTAGGAAAGTATAATACTACCTTCAGTTTTAAGGCATTCACCAGATATTTACAACATTCATAAATTTATGTCCATTTCTTTTCTATTTACTTAAACATGTATTATACTTTCACGGAGATTATCAAGAACATTACAGAAAATTAATTTACAAGTTCAAGTCAAACATAACTTAAATATTTCTCAAAAACACTTCAGATGGGTTTTGTTGTTCCGTCTCCTTCGCACACTAGAGAGTAACCTGGACACACAGTGCAAATAAACTATCACTGCAGTATGACGCTAAACACCATGGCATGCCAGTTGTTCCCGGCCTGTATCTTATACTAAAACCTCAGTCAAAACTCCGGGGAAAATACATCGCATGGAAATTAACAGAACACAAAACGAGAATGAAAATAAGATTACGTTACAAGTGAAACAGGAAATTTAATACAGAACAGTGCAAAGGCGTTCCAAAATACACTACCTAAAATAAAAATGAAGTGAAAGTTTATTTAATTCAAGAATGATCAAAACTAAAGTAGTTTAAAAATAGTTATTTTATCTTTTTATAAAATAGATTCATTTTAATGCCCTGGAAATAGGAAGTATAAACTTGAACGAATGTAATGTTTATTAGGAATATAAGGGCAGAAAAATGAACAAGACAAGAAATTCTAATTAAGTCATATTCTTTGTTTCAAAGAGCCCACTCGTACCAACACAGTAAAAGCCTGACACCCATAAGATCCCAATTTCAAAGAGGGGCAAGGCGAAGAGGACACTGTCGCAACAACGGGCCCACTGCTGCGCTCCCGCCGCCACTGCTACCAAGCGCAGGGACAAGTCCTTCAACACCTCGACCTCTCAGTTCTTTGACCTCACTTCCAATAATCATTTTTCTACGCTCCCATCTTGGCAAACACTCCCATACCTAGTTAACTGACAATTACAGTACATCCCAAACCCTGAATTTTAACTTCTTCTCGACCAGTCTTTTGATTTCCAGCTCACTTACTTCAACAGTCTAATCCAACAAGTGTACAACTTGTCCTCTGAAGCCAGTCGTGATACCACTCGTCTACCATCTTGGTTGGTCCCAAACAGCTCCTACTCCATTTTTCTGCTTTTAGAGTTAATCTCCTCAACAGACTTGTCTCAATGTGCTGTCCCCACTCTCTCCCTGGAACCTCTCCATGTGAGGACATGGCCCCTAAACACCTCTTCTGAGGATATCATGGACCTCATGTCGCTTGGATCCCAGTCTTTACCCTAGTCAATCTGTCAGCAGCATTGACTGCACTTCTTCTTCCTGGAACTCCTCCTCCAGCGACTGCATCTCTTCCTACTCACTGGTCGATTCTTCTCAGGTTCCCCAGCTGCTTCTCCCTCTCAGTGCTGCGGAGCCTCAGGGCTCAGTCCTTGTGACCTGCCAGCCCCTTTTCTATGTTCACATTCTCTGTGATTTCCTCTAGTCTCATACCTTTCAATACATCTATATGCTGAGTCCTCCCAAAGTCCTCTCTCTGGTCTGGAACCTCTCTCCTGAACTCCAGATCTGCATCTCCAACTGCCTACTTGAGATCTCCACCTGCATGTCTAAGAGCTATCTCACACCTAACACACCCAAGGTGAGCTCCTGACTCCCTCCCTCCATGCCTGCTTTTCCTTAGTCTCTGCCATTTCAAACTGACCTCAATACATCCTTCCCGTCCACCAGGCCATGAGTAGTCTTCCTTGACTCCCCTCTTTCTCCAGACTCCGCATCTGTTCCATCTCAAGTCCTATTTACTCTTATTTGAAAATCTGTCCTGGGTTGCACCACTTCTCACTGCTCCATGCTTCTCACCTACCATCCAGGTCCAAGCCCCTGCATCTCTCTCTGGGTGGCTGCAGCAGCCTCCTAACCTCCCTGCTCTCCCCTTGGGCATCTCAAACATAACTGCCAGAGTGATCCTTTCAGACGGTAAGCCAGATTATGCCACTCACCCCTCAAGACTGGAGTACTTCTCCATCTCACTCTGAGTAAAAGTCAGCCTCTAAATGCACATCCATTTCATCACCTGGCTCCCTACACCACTCAGCCTGTCTCCTGCTACTGACCGCTGTCTGATCATCCCATACACCACGACATTCAGTTCTGTCAAGACAAGGCGTCTATTCTGTTTGCTGCTACATTCCCAGCACTCCACTGGCGGGGACTTTACCCATCTTTCCCTGCATTGTACCCCCAGTGCCACGAACAACCTGTGATACAGAGAAGGTTTTGCTAAATGGCTTAGAAGACCTGGTAACTAATAACCTTTGGATGACATGAAAGATACAGGACAGACAGACTGCTCTGAATGAGAAGACAAGAAGCATTTAAGATGGTTGACTACGGAGCAAATATATCTTCCCATCTTGACCACCTGCTTAGGATGCAATCCCTATCCAATTAGGAATCGTTCACGCAGGATGCCTGCTACATCATGGAAACAGTGTCAAAACAAAATTATTCCTTTGAACACTCGGTGGTAAAAAGGTCACCAAAGGCTGTTACTACAGGTCACCGGACAGGCTGTGAGAAACAGAGCAGTTCTTTGCAGTGGTCCCCAGTATACTACTACTTTCCATTTACAATTACAAAGTGGTGTAAATGTCACAGGAGAAAGAGGAAGCAGCAAAAGAACAAACAATTTAACTCGAGAAGGCTAAAGAGCTTCCAAAATGCCTATGTCTTTTCCCTTCTTACTGTTCTTATGCCAACATTAGAAAGGTCTCTGATACATAAATAAAAGACCTTCTTGGAAAAACTTACCACCCAGGAATGTTGAAGCTCACATTCCCATGAGGTTTCAGAGGGCAATGGGAAAACTCAATCAGGACTATAAGGTCTAGAGAGAACGTGGAACATCATACAATACAATTCTCAATTAGCTTTAAATTCTAAACAGTATACGTAGGAGGGAAAAAACAAAAGTGAACAACACTTTACCTTTCCAAACCAGCCACTTCCAATTTCCTGTATGTAGTTTAGACTGTGGCGCACAACTTGAGACTTCAGACCTTCTGTAGGAAAAAGTAAAGAACATTAAAAACTAAATATAAGTATTTCACTGAAATAAATTAAATATTAAATATACAACCTATAAAGTTCAAACTCCAACATAAATTTAATGCTTGTGCTAGTAAAGGGAGAAATACATAAAACATCTCTTTCAAACTAACAATGCTAAATGGTTCCACGTTCTAAAACTGACAGTATTTTAGAATGAGTATCCCACACTGATTCTTTAATACCTTCTGCTGTTTTTTCCTGCTCCAACTACTCTACTGTAGCCTCTAGTCACCATCCCACTGGCCTTTAGTCCTATTTTATGGTGGAGCAGGGAACCCCAGGGACTGTCTCTGCCTATCTTAGTACGAAAAGTCCATCTGATTAACAAATTCAAATATACCCCTTCTCCCAAACACAGAACATCCCAGAAGACAGCAGTGTCTACTCAGCACGACAAGCAGTACAGAGAACTAGGAAAGAAGCTCGCCTTCTAAAGAGGCAGGAGCTCTGTCCGAGGTTCCACTTGAATGAAGTGAGGAGGCCAGTTTATTCTTGTAACAGATCCAGGGTCTAAAAAGGAAAGAACTCAGCTTTTACAGGAATGCAATGGGCCTGACCACTCAGCCTCAGCAGGGAGCAGAAGGAAGAGAAATAAGCCCACAGGGGAGTCAGTCCAGTTATTTTGCTATTCTCAGGAAGGTTCCCAGTCTCACTTCTCAGAAATAGCTCAGGAAAACATGACATTGGACAGAAGGTCTTACCTACAGAAGGCTGGAATTGGGATGGAGCAGGTAGTGAGACGTTTGGTACTGAAAGTGTGAACACTTCTGCTGGAGACTGGACAGAGGGAGTATCTTCTGCTGGTGGTGTGAAATCTATCTCGTCATCAAAATTATCTTCAAATTCCTAACACAAAAGAGCATTGTTATGGCAAATATAGATTAAGTTTGAGAGCAAATCCTAAAACACATTGGCTAACATTTAAGAGATGAACATTTATTCATTCGTTTGGAACACGTGGTCATAATTTTCCCCCCCAATTCAGACTTATTTCAAGTAAAAAGCATATATAATTGTCTTCTCCAACTCCAAATAGCAGAATACATAAGATTTGAAAATAAATTATACTTATTTTATGTAACTTTTTAGACTGATAGCTTGAAGTTAAATGTAAAATTTTTTATAATGATCATGGAACTTAAAACAGAAATACTCTTCTAAGTTCAAAATTTTACTGCTAAGTTATTATAGTCTAAGCTATTCTTTCATTATTATTATTAACTTTCATAGATCTCTTTGCATAGTGAATCAAAACAAATTTATTTCAAAATTGTATATGCATTTCTGGTTGCAATCTGATTTCTATCAAAACAAGGAAGTTAAAAGACTCAGGAAAGATATTTTTAAACAAGTCCTATTTGTCTGAAAAGGGTAAGATAAAAAAATTATTAACCTGGGTAGAAAATCATCTTAAGATCTGAACCACCACGGTTATGGTATAAAAATGTACCATAACCGTGGTGGTTCACAAGTACAGCTAACATTCTAAGAATGTCTGGTTTTTGAAAGACGGCAACTTGAAAATCGAGGCTGCACCAATTGAGCTGTGGAAACCTTTGAAGTGACTTTGTTTAGCAGAAAGCCACCCTACCCGTTCCCATCAGAGAGCTTGGTGTCCATGTTAACACAGATAGAGCTGATTATCAATGTCATTCATTGGCTCAGGTAATGAACGAGTATTACCCCACAGGGACCGTAACAGAAGCTGAGAAGAGGTCAGTGAACAAGACTGCTTTCCGTTCCTCTACAGAACATCCTTCTTTTCATCTCCTTTTCTACCACCTTCCTTAGGCCTCTATACAAGGAAGAAACTAAATGCTGTAAGGGCAGATCTCTCTGAAGTAGCATTTATGATCTCACCTGCATGTGAGGGGGCATTATTTCATATATGTCCTATATGTTCGTTGTCAAATGCATCAGGACATCATTGCTAATTGTAACAGGGAAGGGGGGAGGAGCAGAATAAGTGAGGTACTGTGACTTCAATCTGTGAGGACACCTCCAAACAGAAAAGCTGTGTTCAACTTTCCCTCCAGGCATTCCTACAGGTTCTCCCATTGAAAAAGACTTTATCAATCCATCACTCCCAACTTAGAAATAATGCCACTCATGATTTGGCCAAGCCCAGCCGGGCGTGGCTCAGCGGTTGAGTATCGACCTAGGATCCAGGCGATCAGGGTTCAATTCCCGGTCAGGGCACATGCCCGGGTTGTGGGCTCGATCAATGACTCTCTCATCACTGATGTTTCTATTTCTCTTTCTCCCTCGCCTTTCCTCTCTGTGAAATCAATAAAGATATATTAAGAAAAAAAAAAAAATCCACACTCCCCGAGCCTGTGTCGATACTGAGATTCAGTGGGTTAGAAGACTGGAAGGGGGAATGAGGCAACATGCATGACATGTGAGAGCCTGCATCTGCTTCAGCAGCAGTGACCAGACCTTATCTTTGTCCCCAAATGGCTAATGTCTGTGCAAAGTCCCTCAGCAAGACTGACAGTCAAGGAATCCAGATTCTCTGCCTATCACTGCGCCCTCATATGGTGCAGTCATTAAGATCCCACAAAGGTGTCTGCCATGATTCTAGGGCCCAGGGGCTGACGTCATGAATAAAGCCCTACATGGTTGAGGTAAAACCTTGTAAAGACTGTGCTATTGAGTCTTTTCCTCCAGTCTTCCTTTGTTCTCAGCCTTCCATGTGGCTAATGCTAGCAAAGAACCAAAGGACAGCACACATCCTTACCTCTGAGCTGCCACCATGCTCGAGGTAAAGAGAACACACAATGGAAGTAGGGGTGAGGTTCTAGAAATAAGGTTTACATATCCACTAAAAAGAAGGTTTTAGCTAGAAGACAGCTTTCTTTTCCCCCCAATTAAAACCAGTGACCCTCAGGCCCCCCAGGACAGCCCCTAGTATAGTTAGCAGGCCTTTATGTAAAGGACCATTTTCTCTGCATGTATGCATTCCTTATTTTTACTATTATATTTTATTGACTTGCAAGAGAGAAACATCAATTTGCTGTTCCACTTATTTATGTATTCATTGGCTGATCCTTATATGTGCCCTGACCAGGGATCAAACTGGCCTATCAGGACGTTGCTCTAACCAACTGAGCTATCTGGCCAGGGCCTATATTTCTTTTTCACAAGTATTCACTGAGCCCCAAAACATGCCAGCAGGGATACAGTAAGTTCTAGGGCAGGATATTCTAGCCAGTTTCCAGCAGATTCCACCCATCTGCGGCTACAACAGCCCTTTTATATTATGTACAAGCCCCACTCCGACCCCACTAGTGTTTACAATTGGCAGCATTCTTCTTTCTCCCCCTTAGGGAGCTGTAGGGTTTAAGGTAAACGGAAAGATGCTCTCCTTATACACAAGACACACTGGGGGATCCCTTAGCCTCAATAATCTTAACCACAGACTCATCGGCATACAAGTTTAGAAAAAAATCAAAACCAGCCTGCTTTTCCTTATAGGCCTTACAGCAAATGAACACAATCATCATGCTTTATTTTTCCCTTTCAAAACTTAAAGGCTGGGCAAGCAAACTACAGCTAGGGGGCCAAATCCAAACCACCCACTTCTGTAAAGTTTTATTGGCACACAGCCACAACGACCTGTCTTGGGTTGTCTATGGCTGATTCAGCACGACGATGGCAGAGCTGAGAGCTGAGTAGCTGTGACAAGGCCCTGCGTGGCGCACAGTATTTACTACCCACAAGGGCAGAATATATTTACTATCTGGCTCTTACAGAAGAAGTCTGCCAACCCGTGCTCCCAAGGGGCTGTGGTATTTAGCCATTGTGTTGATACATGTATCAGAGGATGATTTTAAATGTTCCTACCAATTGTGCTCACCTTAAAGTCTATTTCTGGGTCTTTACAGCAGGATATACAATTTGCAATTAACACGATTAATATAATGAAACTACACATAGATAGGATCACAAAAGATAAGGACACTTCTGCAGCAGGTGACTCCCCTGGAACGAGAAATAAATATTATTATTAACATCAGAGACATTCCAAAATCAACTTTAACAAACGAATCGATATATTTTCCACCAAATGTAAATGGGATTAAGAGTTAATAAACTAATGCTTAAATGCTCAAGATAAAGCTGATAACCAATCCAGGATAAGAAGTTAGGATTTTAAAAATCTTACTGTGAAACAATCTTAGAGTTACAGAAGAGCTCCAGAGACGATCCAGAGTCCCCATTACCCTTCCCAGACTTCCACCAACACTAACATCTTGGTTCCATGGCACATGTATCAGAGCTAAGACAATACCACTGGTATACACCTCCACTAACTGAACTTCAGACTTTATTCGGATTTTACCAGTTTTCCCATTAACACCATTTGCTTTTCCAGGTTCCATCCAGGCTACCAACACTGCATTTAATCATGTCCCCTCAGGCATCTCCAATCCCTGATGTTTCCCAGTCTTTCTTTGTGTATCATAACTTTGACACTTCTGGAGAGTACCAGTCAGTTACTGTGTAGAATGTTCCTCAATTTGGGTTGCCCCATGACTGGACTGAGGTTATAGATATGCGGGAGAATCTAGAATAGCACAAGGTGAACAGCCCTTCTCATCACATCATACCAAGGGCACATGATGCTGGCACGACTTACTCCTGGTTTCTGCCAGGTTTCACCACTGTGACGTTACCACTTTTCCCTTTACTACCCTATTCCTTAGAAGTGGGTCCCAAAGTCAGGTGCACACTCACAGGGAAGTAAGCTGTACGTCCTCAAGGGAGTAGCAACACAGAATTTGTGGACATGTTAAAACTACCACAGTCATTAGTATTTGGGGGAAGACACTTTGAGATTATGCAAGCATTCTGTGTCTCCTTAAATTTCTGCACACTAATTTTCTCATCCATCACTGCATCTTGCTTGAAGCCATTAATATCGTGATGTTCTAATGGTGATTTTCCATTTCCCTCAGTCCTTCTACATTTATTATTTGTCATTCTTCTGTAAGAAAGCTTTGCCCCTCCTCCCTCACTTACATAGTTATGGACTCACAGGTATTTGTTTTATATCCTGGGGTTATTATAACCCAGTATTATCATTATTTTGTGGCTCCAACTGCTTCAGCTTTGGCTCTGGGAGCTCCTTCCAGTTGGGGATGTGCCCCACCCTCTTCTTTCCCCCCACGCTTCCTCACTTGCTGCCTCCACAGTTAGCTCCAGGCTCCTCTTGAACCTTCCCTACTCCAGCTTTAGAAGCAGCCACTTCTCCAAGGAGCTCTGGTCATAACCAGGAGCTTGTCCACTAGAGCAGGGTCTGAAAACCCTGCCCGTGATCCCTTTGTGCATTGCAGCGGTGACAGCAGAGGGCAGCTGAAAATGATTTTTAGATCTTTAAAGGACTGTTTTCAAAATAAAACTAAACAAAACAGATGCAAGAGACACTGCATGTGAACCCCAAAGCCTAAAATATTTGACTACCTGACCCTTTTAGAAACAGTGTGCAATCCTTGTCTAGAGCACAACGATTTTTACATCTCACTTCCAACAAAGAGTTACCTAGAAAACATCTCATCCAACTAGGGCTATTTTGAGCATTTTCTTTGTTACAGCAAACTGTAAAGTCTCCCCTACCTGTGTTTTACTAGGAAATAAACATTTCCCCCCAATTTTACTGAGATATAACTGACACATCACATGATGTCAGTTGAAGGCATACAATGTGATGATTTATACACATATATAGTGAAAAGATTATCACAATAAAGACAGAAATAAACGTTTCCCTAAAATCCTCATCTACAGCTAACTATATATGTATATTTCAAATGCACCAAGGGGTGGGCATGGAGATGAGTTAATGGACGATCCACCGTTTTTCTTCAGTAAAACTAATACCTGAAGAAAAGAAAACGGAATCCAAACTCCTACGTGAGCAAAACACATTCATGATAATAAAGAGCTTCAGTGAAGACCAGAGAGGTCTGCAAACAGGACTAAGTTCCTTCTCAACAACAAAAGGTCTGTTTGTGAAAGCAATGCTACACCGCATTGCTACAAGTGGGGCTCAGACTCCAGGCTTACAAATACCTCAGTTTTCGACCGTCTCCGTTGACGAACATTTCGGTTTACGAACACCGTAAACCCAGAAGTAAATACTTTGGTTTTCGAACATGCCTCGGAAGTCGACCATGCCACACGGCTTCCGCTGAGGGCAAGACCCTGAGGCCCAGCTGTTGGCTGTGGATCCCTCGGTTTTCGAACGTTTCGGAACTCGAAGCGTTTCAGGGCTTCCAGAATGGGCTACATTGGAAAATCGAGGTACCACTGTACTTCAGCGAGGGTTGTTAAGAACCTGCAAGTTCTAATCCAACAGTATCTAAAACAGGAAAATCCATGCATTGAACCTAAAGTGACTCGGTGACTCCTCTCAAAAGCCCATCTACAGGGAAGCCAACTTTCACAGAGAAAAAGAATTCCTTAACTACAAACACTCACATTTCTAAACTAAGTGAGGTGCGAGAGCCAACTTTCTATGAGTAAGGGAGACCCAGAAAGATCACTTTCTCCTTTCAACTACCTGTTCCCTCACTCAGCTTGGTCTGTGTGTACTTATTCTTGTAATTTTATTTTCCTCCCAACACATACAATGAAAATTAAATATGACTCCTGAGGCTTCTTATAGCAAAGCACTTTCATAGCCACTGTATTTTATTTATTTTTAAAATGCAGTTTGTCCACCGCATTTTAACATCACTGAATTTCAGGTGCATCTTACACTGAAAGTTGGTTTTCATTGGCAGAGTTTCTTCTTTTTTAATGGCATGGAAATAAGGGTGTGTCATAATCAATTGAATCTGAGATTGGACAAAATACAGGATGATTTCATTCGATTGCTACAATGCCTCTGAGGGAATTCGACCAGCTCCACATCACAAATGAGACACTGACAGGCCCAAGGACACAAAGAGGGAAAGTGGCAGGGCCAGGCTCTGGGTTCAGGGGCACTGAGTATAAACCCTTGTGCTTCCCAGGATACATTGTTTTTGCCTCAATGAGGTTAACTTTTAACACTTATAAACAGCTTAACCTAAGTACTTTGAACCGAAGTCCACAGCTGTTAATTAACATAGTTCATACTTCTGGGGCTCTGCTCCAAATTCCACATAGCAAATATTAAATCATTTTTTCCTCTCTTTCATCTATAATTTTTTATTATCACACACTATCTATTTATTGTAAAGTCTGATCAGAACTGCCTGAAGGCAGCTCAATTATCTGAGTCATAAAACCATCTTCTGTGAGTCACTAGGTAGGCATGAGAAGTCATACCATGTTAAAAATAAAGAGCTGGGCTGAGTTTTGCCCTACCTTTTACTTATTTGCTCTACCTACAAGCTTACCTCTGTGAGGACGCCACAGGGGAATCTGCTCCCCGGCACTCAGGTTTCCTCAATGTACACCAGCTCTATTCAACCTCAATGTCCAACAGTCCCACCAAAAGGACTGTACAAATTACTGCCTGAAAAGGAACCTACTAGGTAGCCTTAGTAGAAATTTTTACAGTTTTACCACTTTTAAAAACTAGTTTTATTTACTGTATTTTTCTCTTGATTAGTCCAAAGCACTGTGCTTTAAAAAACTCTACATACCAATGAAGGAAAAAGTCCCTAAAATGAAGAACTAGAACCAACCTGGCACAGGCTGGAAGGTGAGACAGGAATGCATAAGCCACAGAGAGGAAGTCAGTTCTAGCCGTGAGGAACTACAGCTAAAGTCCCCAGGCCCCAGCGGTCAAACTGCAAACTGGGCCCCTGGGAGGTTCCTGATTACGACTGTTAGGAAGCCAAGAAGCAAGATGGATTTCCTTTAAAGTTCTCCGTCTACAGCATTCAGCAATGCATAAATCAAACCAACTGTGTACTAAAGAAAAACATCAATAACAACAGGAGTGTCTCTAGACCCTTAGGCAGCTTTTCCCAGTGCAAACTGGGCACGAGGGTAACTAGAGGTCTGGGGTGCTTAGCATGCTTCCCCCAGATGCCAATTACAACATCCCTGGCATCTGTAAAACACATCTGTGAATTGTCATTTTACAGTTTCAAACCATTTTAATAGATATCTAGCATTTGATTTCATAAGCAGAAAACCTGAGAAACTCTAAGTGGCAGGTACCTATTATCTGTTTTACAGACAGGTAATTAGGAACATGCAATTTCTCAGTAATGACTCAGAGGAGGTCAGGAGTACCACCTGATTATTAATTCAGTCATTACAAATCTCTGCCCAGAGCTTTGATCAGAATTTGAACATACATGTAATTAACTAAAGAGTTACCTGTGAATCCATTTTGGGATTAAATAAAAAATTTTCAAGATCCAGATAGAAAGAAATGATACTCAATGCTCGATTCATGAGAGTACTGATATTCTAACGTTGTGATTCCTTCTTCAGTTACAAGCTGATACACTATTATAAAGAGAAATTTCCTCCTGTTTACCATGTGGTTACCCAGTGGTTCGAGTCACAAGGGGTGGGGCTGAAAGGGCAAACTCTCTAATCACATGGTTGGTTCCTCTGGCCACCAGCCCCATCCTGAAGCTATTTGGGGCCCACCTAGAGTCACTTCATTAGCATGAATTCAGGTATGGTGGATAGGGGCTTGTTATTAATAACGAGAGATGCTCCCATCACGCCATCACTCAGGAAATTCCAAGAGTTTTAGGAGCTCTGTGCCAGGAAAGGGATACAAAGGCCAAATATGTATTTCCTATTATGTCACAGGTATTTACATTCTCCCTATCAGGAAACTCTCCCACTGACTCTCCTCCCCTGACTAATTCACCCTCACCATTCAGATCTCAACCTGGAAACTGGTACCACAGGCCCAGTCCCAGCCTTTGGATCCCTGATGCACCCCGTATTTCCCCATTGTGAAGTTTATCATACTAGTTTTCTAAATGTCCATATGTCTTCCCCACTGGACTGCAAGCTAAATGGGGTCGGGGACCAGGCCTGTATACTCCACCAGTGGCCCCCAGGACCCAGCACAGGGCCTGACATTCAGTCAGAAGTGTTGGGGGGCGGGGGGGTGAGGAAAAGAAAAAAAAGTGAGACGTTAACTAAGGAGCGGACTCCAGCAAGGGAGGGAAGTGGGGGTGAGGGGAGAAATTCATAATTAATCTCTTGGTTAACAGAATGAACTTATGTTGTAAGGATCAAACATTATAAAAGTAGCAGTCTTTGGTAACTGGATGCTCTTATTTGGCAAAGGTTTCCCTCCCATTACTAACCATACCCCGATGCACACTGCACTGGGTGGTTCTGTCCCTTCCCACTATTAAGTTGATCATTTATTCCCCAGGTCTCAGAGAACTGCCACAAACATTCT